GGATTTCAGTGCCAATGTGCCAATGTATTACCGTCTTCATTATTTCTGCATGCCCATTCAATGTTAATTTCAGTGATGATTTCAGTGCCACTATATTACCGTTTTCACTTTTTTGCATGCCATTTCCATGTTAATTTAAGTGATGATTTCAGTGCCACTATATTACCGTTTCATTGCGTGATTGCATGCCAGTTCAATGCTAATGTCAGTGCCATTATATTACCATTTTCATTGTATTTCTGCATACAATTTCCATGTCGATTTCAGTGCCAATGACAGTGCTAATATATTCCTGTTTCATTGCGTTTTTACATGCCTCTTCAATGCCAGTTTCAGTGCCATTATATTACCGTTTTCATTATTTTTGCAAGCCATTTCCATATGGAATCAGTGACAGTTCCAGTGTCAGTGCCAATATATCACCGTTTCATTGTAATCTTGCAAAACATTTCCATGTCTTTGAGTGCCATTTATATTACCCTTTTCATTGTATTTTTGCAAACCATTTCTATGTGGATTTCAGTGCTAGTTTCAATACCATCATATTTCGGTTCTCATCATTTTTGCTGGCCATTTTATCGCCAGTGAAAGGGCTATTGAATTACCAACATTGCATTTTTGCATACCATTTCCATGTAAATTTCAGAACCAGGTTTAGTACCATTATATTACCGTTGTCACTGCATTTTGGCATAGCGTTTTCGTTGTTGCCGTTTTCGTTGCAAATTTCGTTGTAAATCGTGCTTCCATTCATGCATACGCTGTAATTTTTCTGCCATTTTCGTTGCCGCTTTCTGTTCCATTATTACCACTTTGGTGCCATTTTCGTTGTATCTCTTCGTACCATTCTTCATGTCAATTTTTCATCGCCATTTGCGTTGCCATTTTCCATGCCCTTTCGCTGTCGATCCTGCTGCTATTTTCAGACCAGTTCTTTTTGCATTCTTTTATTGTTCATTTTCGATGTAATGTTTGTCTTTTCATGCCATTTTCATTTTCATTTCATACCATTCCTCAACCAATTGCAGTATCATTTCCATACCATTTTTCATCTCAATTCCATGCCAGTTTTGTTGCCAATGTTTTGCCAATTACGTTGGCAACCTTGCTGCCAGTTTTGTTGCCAGTTTTACAAATTTCGCAGCTTACTGCCATTTCCATCCAGTTCCGCTGCCATTACCCACGCCAAACCTTTTCCATTCTCTTTTCCGTCATCACCATTTTTTGGCATTATCATTTTTTCATACCGTTTTCTCTGTTGAGTCAATGATCTTGGGTTCTGCCCACCACAAGCACCTCGGTGGCCGTGACTTCGACCAAGCCATTGCCACCTTGGCGAAGGATTCAAGTCCAAGTACAGGACCGACGTCAAGCAGAACCCAAGACTGTCTACAAAGTCATTGCTGCTTCTGAGATAGTCAAGAAGGTCGTGTCTGCAAACACCCATGCCCTTGTGAATGTGGACGTCTTTTCTCTTTGACAAGAAAAGAGCTGGAGAAGTACGTGACTCCTTTCTTGAACAGAACTCATATCCCAAGCTAACTCTAAATGTTCCGGTCTCACCACCTCCGACCTCGACTTCATTAGGCTTATCGGTGCATTCGAGTGCCATTTTTGAAAACCAGATTGAGCGAGATCCCCGGCAAGCCTCCACGACCTTGATCCAAGACGAGGCCATTGTCGGAGGTAACGCTTTATCTGTGCCATGCACCCCTACCGTGGCAGACAGACCGTTGCCTATCCATGCAATGTCCCTATTATTTTCCATTTTTCCCATTGATTCCAGTATTTTTATGTCGCTGTCTTTTTTTTATTTTCATCTCATTTCTCTCCATCTCTCCATCTCGTCCTTTTTGTGATTTTTTTTTTACAATCTTGTTGCCTTTTCCGCTTTCCGTTGCCAATTTCGCGGCCACTTTCGTGGCCAGTCTCCATGCCATCTTTTACATTTACATTTTTTTATTTTCGTTGTCATTTTTCATTTGCATGTTTTTTTTTATTTTCATGCCATTTTTAAAGCTTATTGCGCTTTACATTGTGTCTTGAATACCTTTCCAGATCAATTCTGCATCGCCCTTTTCGTGGCCATCTCCATGCCATGTCTTTTGCATTAAAATTTCCATTATTTCCGCTAATCACGTTAGTTCCAATGATTTCATTCTTTCAATTTGGCTGTCGTTTCTTTTTCCATCTATTTCCATCCATTTCCACCTCCTCCTTTTATCATTTTCTATGGCTGTCCTTAGTTTCATGTCGGTATCGCTGTCATTCTCCATGCCACTTATATTTCCATTTACTGCATTTTCATTGCATTTTCGATCAATTTTCTCCCTTTTTGCTATCAATTCACCTCTCAATTTCGCTGCCCTCCTTTGCCCTCCGTTGCCCTTTCCGTCGCCAATTCCGCGGCCAATTTCGTGGCTCCATGCCATGTCTCTTCCATACCCATCTCCATTAATTCTAATATCTTGATCAATTCCATTCCATTTGGCTACCAATTTTTTATTTATATCCACTTCGCTGCCTATTTTCTCCATCTTGTTCCACTTGTGCCTAAATCAATGCAAGATTAACAGATCTTAGATGGTGAGGTGGAGCAATATATTATCGGTGACATACCATTGATGAAATAGTATCGATGCCATAAATTCGGTATACTGATATCACGTCATCAAATAACCAATAACCAGCCGCAGGAAACTGAATTACTGTCAACAGATTGGCACGAAGAGCACGAGCAGGTCGCCAACGTGATATTGTAACTTCGCTACTAGAGCATCGACAAGACCAATATCGACAGAATAGCTGCCGCCTCAAGAGTTTGCCATGGTATTGTTTTTGCCGGAGGCTATTTGATGATAGTGATGTGATACTGAAGTGACGACATCGTTGAGCAAAACCTTCACAAAGTCGTCACGATAGAAAATCATTGGTACGTCGCTACAAGGTCAATTCGATGATGTCACAATGGCCTTACAATATATCTATTTCAGCCGAGTTAAGCCTGAAGTAGTGCTGTATCAGCGTGAACTTCCTGATATTGTGACCTCCACAATGAAGTATCACCAAGAGTCAGGATACTCACTCACTAGTTGAATTAGGTTCTGATATAATACTAGTGGATTAGAAGAATGGGTACATATACAATGGGATCGACACTTTGGGCACATCTTCTTGCACAACACGTACAAGTCCCTTTTCTGCGATGCTTGTTTTGGTCCCACCAATGGAAGAGCGGCCTTTGAGTGCATTGCCTCGGGACAAATTATATAGAATGTTTATTGTGGGATGGCTCATTTGCCGTGTGAAGTATATTTCATACTTCAGTACTCCAACCTGCCTATCTTTTCGAAATGCAAAAGTGATGGGCTCGGGAGAAGGAGGAGACTTTAGGGCTTGAACGAATGTTTCGGCGAAAAAAAGTGGGGAGACTAGGCCAGCTAGAGAGAACCAGAGAGGAAGAGACTTTTCAAAGAAGCTCGTTGAAGAAGCTGAGCGACAGATGCCGAAGACCAGGTGAAGGTAAATACACGAAAAGGTTTTATTCATAGCATTGAAGATGGAAGAGGAGGAGGCCAGGCACATTGATGCAATGAGGGATGCAACAAATCCACCGTCATTTTAGTGCATCTTCATCATCATAGTAAAGTAATGTCATTACAATACATCACCTTCGTTATGGTACAGTAGTCAGTATAGTACATCCACCATCAGAGCACATCAACATTTCAATGCATCATCATTGGATTAGAGTACACCACCATTATAATACACCACCATCATAATACAACAACATTATAATACACCACCATTATAATACACCACCATTATAATACACCAA